CGTTAAAATGGCCACGCGCAGGCCTTGCCTTCTCTTCCTCTCCTCACGGGAAGGGCCGGCGCGAGGTGGGAGACCGACATCTAATGATTAACCTGCGGCCTAGAGGAGGAAGTGGCGGGGAAGGCGCGCTGAGCGGGGCCGGGCGGGGCGCGCCGGGCCGGGGTCACCAAAGCCAGGGGCTCAGCGCTGGGGAAACAACTAGGCAGGTTCCCCGCCAGGGGCTCCAGGGAAAAGCCTCCGTTCTCTGGAGATACTGGAGGAACGGACTGAGCCCAGGGCCGCAGAGCCAACGCCTGGCCGTGCCTTGGCTTCTGCCAAAGCAGGTGCCCCAGGAAGGGCGCCCTGGCCGCGAGCGGCATCCAGGAGGCCCCCGTTTGAGCCCCGGCTTGCAGGGACTCCAAGCAGCAGGTGTTTGCCTGGGAAATCTGAGTGCCCAGAGGGGCACAGACCTCCTCCCCAGGGTGGAACCAGGGGACCCAGCCGCCCGCAGGAAGGGGCCCGGGCGCAGGGAACGGCCCTCCAACCAGGCCGGACACCTCCAGGAGGCCCGGCGGGAGCAGGCTTTCCTGGGACACAGGTGCGTGCGGCGACCGGGCCCTGCCTCTCTCCACAGCCAGCCACCAGAGTAGAAGATGTCCACGGCTTTAGGGTTTCAGCTGCCAAACACCCAAACAAAGAGACCCCATTGTTTCCGTCTGGGTGGATTTGTTTAGACTGGGGCAGTGCAGACACCCCAGAGGAAAAAGCAAGAAGGAAAACAGAAATAAACACTTGCCAGGATCTCAGGGTCCTCTGCGGAAAGCTAGGACCCGGAGGGCGGGAGAGGTCGTGGGCAGGTGAGGCAATGCCAGCCCGCGCTATTTGCCCCAAACCACAGGGGCTCTTCCCCGCGTGGCTCGAAGAAGGCCCTCGGGGCGCCCATCCTCGGGGAGACTCAGCCCTCTTGACCCCCAAAGCTGGTTGAATAGCTCAGACATAAGCTCACAAACCCCGGGCGCTCTGAGCCTAGCCGCAGAGCCCAGCAAACCCCTGGGATGGGAAGCCACTAGCGGCTCCTTGTTACTCGGCCTGAGGTCGGAGGGTGCGGAGTTAACCCACGTGCGTGCACCCCGGGGCCGGAGGAGCCGGGTGCGCACCGCAGGAGGCCGCTGGAGAGGCCGGCCGCCTCCAGCCTCCACGCCGGTGTTGTAAGGCCCAGGGCCACGCAGACTTTTCTGGGATCCACGTGGAGCCCCGGGTCACTCAAAACTGATTCCTCACCAGATTCCCCATCTTAGCCGAATGGGTGTGGAAGCGGGACCTGGGCCTGGCTCGCGGAGGGCAGAGCGGAGGAGGGACGCGCGTGGCCTTCTCTTCCACCCGGGAAAGGCCGCGGCTTCCCACTGCCGCCACCCCGAGCCTCCCACGGAGCCCGTTTTCATTAGCATTCCAGCCTATTGTCGCGTGGGGAATTCGGGCCTTGTTTAACTAAAGCAGGGGGCGTGGGCCTCCCTGCAAAGCCAATCGCCCAGCTCCCCCCGGGCGGTGGCCGGGTCCCTCCTTTCTTCCTCTCCTTCCTTCTTCCTTTTATTGTCGGGCACTTGTCAGCCTCCTGGGAAATCAAGGGAAGTCTCGTTTTTGAGGTCGTAAACCCTCTGTGATGTAACCGAGCCAAGTTGTGTAAATAAAGCCGCACCGGCTTTAGAACGTGGGGCCGGATCCGCCCCCCTCCGCCTTCAATTTGGGTAATGGGAGTTGTCGGGGAGGTTTCCCCGCGCGGGGCGGGGCGCGGGGCGGGAGGGGCGCTGAGAGCGCGCGTGTAACCGGTCCGGCCCACAGCCTCTGCGGCCCCGAGCCGGCCTCCCCCGCTCCACTTCTCCGTCTGCTTTAAGGAGGCGGGTGGGGGCGACTCTGGGGGGCTGGCCCCAGACGGTGCGCGGAAGCCGGAACGTTCGCGGGCCGGGCGGACGGCGGCCTTCTTTAAGCCAGCCTGGCCGCGCACAAGAGGACTGACTCTCGGGGACCCCAAGCCTTCCCATTCCAGTTGGGTCAGGCCCCTTCCCGGGGAGTGGGTCCTGGAGGCCGGCCCGCAGCGGACCGTGCGGGGGACCTGCGGGGGACCTGGGGGTGTGGCGGGAGGCCTCCCCGCCGCTGAAGCCTCTCCCGCTGCCTCCCGCAGCCCAGGCGCAGTCGGGGCTCCTGGGGAAGTGCCGCCGGCCGCGCACCGCCTTCACCAGCCAGCAGCTGCTGGAGCTGGAGCACCAGTTCAAGCTCAACAAGTACCTGTCGCGGCCCAAGCGCTTCGAGGTGGCCACGTCGCTCATGCTCACCGAGACCCAGGTACCGCCCGGGGGCGCGGCTCCCCCCCGCCGGGCGTCCGCATGGGGTCCCTGCCCGGCCCGGCCGCGCG